TTTTAATCTTTTTTTTGTTTCATAAGTGTTTTATGAGAGTAATTTATGCTCTGATTTTATATCAACTGATTTGAAGCAACAACCCAGTACTATATGCTATGTGCAATCATATTGTGTTCAAGGGAATCCCAATAAAATTGCTTTATCAATGCTCAATTGAATGCTTAAAAAACGGTTTTATACAGGATGTGTCGTGTATAATCTATAAAAATTAAACTACAGTTTCCTGAAGATATTTGTAATAGAAAACTCTTACACGAAAAAGTTCTATCTTCTCGTTTTTTTTTTTGTAAAATAAAGTTCATTTATTCAACGAAAATGAAAGCCGACCCTGTGTTATTTATTAAAAACTTTGAAATGTTTGTGCAGTCAACTGATTTTGTATTTGTATTGAATTTTTTATTCACTTAGGTAATTATTAAATATTAAGCAAGTTATTTTACTGAATTGTCCAAACTTCGAAAGATTACCGATTTCAAAACTTGACCTGAAGTTGGACGACCTATTCAGAACGGCACTTACGTTGCAAATCAACAGATATGATGTGCGAGTTCCATGTTCAAAAGCCGCAGACTTGCATTACAGGGATGGGTTTTATTTGTCCTTATGCGAGTGTGACCGATCTCTGCAAGCACCTGGGCAACTAGTTTGACCATCGATCGCGATATTACTTCGGATAAGTCTGCTGGAGAGGAAGTCGCTGTAATTCAACATTGAAATCTCTTTTTGAATCCCGCAGAAATACTAGTGTTACATTACAGAAATATGTGAGGGAAGAAGCGTTTTTCCTTTTAATTCAAATATTGACATAAAATTTTGAATTCACACAATATATTAGTAAATGACTAGCATTTATCAGAAAAACTTATTTTTGACCCTGTGTAACTCAAAAACAAAAGACGATAAGAAAATCTTATTATTTTTTTATGTTTTATCAGTCATTGAATTGGTGCCGTTTTCAAAAACACTTTAAGCAATATCAACTATTTCCTCTTGTCAAGTTTGGTAAAACAAGCAAATGTGTAATACCAGTGTACGAAATCAAATTCCATAATAAAAAATTTGCACAACACTTTGTGAGTTTGACATCAAGTTAATCCAATTATGTGCTTCAGCAGTAAACAAATTATCCAGAATATATGGGACTGTTTTCGTCTGGATCACCTATTCTTTGCGTAAACATGCATTAAGACAGCAAAAGTGAGGTACTTAATTTCAATTTAGATTTAACTCAGTTGTTTGTATGGCGAACCTAATCTGCCCACCCATCTGATCAAGGTTTTGACGGGGCATTAAGAAAACTAGCTACATCTATGTTACTGTAAGTTGGAAAGTTGGAAAGTTATAGCAGTGAAGAAGTTACAAAAATTTTAAATGAATTAATATAAACTTTTAAAACAAAAAATATATATGTATAAAACAATTAAATAATGAATAAAATGTCTGAAAAACTCTAGTCTAAATCTACATTGTTCACATACAAAACTTTTTAAACGAAAGCCTTGTTTTATTTGTTTATGAAGAAAAGTTTAAGGGATATCAGCAAATATTATTTATAGTCCGGTCAAATTAGTCATAAAAATAGTTGTCAAATAACGAAAATTCCGACAGAGCTAAATTTTGGTGGAGACCTTGGGTACACCATTAGAAAAAAAGTGTCAAAAGCCCCCACTGATCCCATGTGTGCTAAAAAAGTTATTCGGGGTCAAAAGTCAAAATTTGGGGTTTTTTGGATTTTTTTCGAAAACGGTAAGTTTTATCAAAAAAGTAGCTCAGACAAAAATTATAGATCTGAAAACTAACTACAAAAATGGTCTTATACTTTTTTTTCTAAGAACCACCACCATTCCTGAGATATCGCGATTCTAAAAGTTGAAGAAGTCACGTTCTACATGATATGCACATATATGCCACGTATATACATAGTCAGGCACTTAATGCAAGTAAAAATGCCTATTTGTGTCTCTTGTATGTATAAACTATACTATTCTGAGAATATACACTCAAAAGAGACTCAATCCCTTAGTCAAAATGACGTAGATGTCCTTATAATTGAAACAGCAATAGAACAATTTAATGCAACAAATACAACTATTGTAGTTGGTGACGATGTTGAATTATTAATACTACTCACTGCAAGGAATCCAGTTGATAAAATTATATAGTTTTTAAAACCTGGAAAGGCTCAACAGCGAACAGAAATATATTCTTCAAAAAGTTTATCTGCTTATCCAAAATGCCAAAACCAAATCTTATTTTTACATGCGATAACCGGCTGCGATACTACATCAGCAATGTTCAGAAGGGGTATTAAAATTATATGGAAAAAAGATTTGATTGATTGCAGAAATTTATTCTTCACCTCAAACAATAATCACAAAAGGAATTCGCTTTCTCCTTGCTGTTAAGGAGCTCCAAAAAAAAATTGATTGTACAGATAAATATAGATATTTAACTTCTGTAAAAAATACACGAAACAAGAAACAAATACAACTATCTTGTCTTCCTCCAACATCGGCTTCTGCTAATCAACACTTGTATCGAGTATACTATTAAGTTCAGACATGGCTAGGCAATCAACTGAACCCAGAAGACTGGGGTTGGAAATTAACAGATAATACTTTGGAACCGATTCAAACTTTACTTCCACCTGCTTTGGAAAAACTCCTAAACACTATTTTTTGCAATTGCAAAAAAGATTGTAGTACTAAATGTGGCTGTAGAAGAGTAGGGTTACTGTGTTCTCCAGCGTGTACTAATTACCAAAGCCAGTCTTGCTCAAATGTTCAATTGAATACAACAGACGAAGATTCATGTCATTTCGATGAAGAGACAGCTGATTCATCTTCATTTGAACAATTTATGAACATCCAGCAAGAAGAAGAGGAAGAAGAAGAAGAAATCGAAGAAGACATGACTGTTGAAGTCGACTTTGAAGAGTATGAATCAGATTAAAATATCAAAAAAAATCAGAACTACAGTTAAAGTCAATAACCAATATCAATATCAATAATCATCATACAGTTAAAAGAGTATTGTCCCTGAAAACTCCGTCATAACAGTTTGTGGAGTGGGCCTACCGGGGAAACCACGTTAAAAAAAACGCGTCAAAGTACACTACCTCACTGGTGGTGTGGAAATGTGTGCATATCATGTATTGTAGAGCGTGACTCCTTCAACTTTTAGAATCGCGATATCTCAGGAATGGTGGTTCTTAGAAAAAAAAGTATAAGGACCATTTTTGTACATAATTTTAAGATCTATAATTTTTGTCAGTGTTAATTTTGTTGATATAACTTACCGTTTTCGAAAAAAAATCCAAAAAACCTCAAATTTTGAGCTTTGACCCGGAATAACTTTTTTAGCACACACGGGATCGATGGGGACTTTTGAAACTTTATTTCAAATGGTGTACTCAAGGTCTCCACCAAAATTTAGCTCTGTCCGAATTTTCGTTACCTATTTGAAATGTCTATTTTGACCGGGCTATTATTCGGTTTCAATATTTCAAAGAATACAGATATTTCAAACGGCAGCTGTAGAAGGAAAAAATAAAAGACGTTTTCAAGATACAAAATTCTGAAAATTTTTTGAAAAAGTTGAACGCAAATGATCCAAATTTGTTTAAGAATAACTGTCTTTGATTTCCGTACTTTAATTGAAATGATGGGTCCATTTATACCCATAAAAAATACAAAATTTAAAATTGTAATACTCTAAACTTGCCCATGTTTGCAAACACACCAATTCCTTGCGGGCAATTGTTTGGTTTTCTATCCCCGACGAGAAACATCCAACAACAACAAGATGCTTTTGTATAAATGTTTTTACACGAATGTTTGCAAACATCTTTTTAACTATTTTGGAATACCAAGAAAGTAACAACTCCCTATAGGTACGCATATTGGAACTATTAAAAAAAATACGCCTATACCAGGTCAGTAAAGCTTTAAATATTGCAGGTATTGCAGTCTAAATATTATAATTAAAAAAATCACGAAAAGATGGAAAGAATCCTCTAATATCAATCATACATCTTTCCACTATTAAATACCATATTTACACGATTAAGGTCAATACCGTATCAGAAACCAAATCTAAAGCTACGACAGTGTAACCAATAACCAATTTTAATAAACAGATTCTGATTGGCTGCGGTGCTGATTTGTACCACCATGGTTTCCCATTTGGCATCTTGGTGGAACATGGGCCTAACCATTACCACCTAGATTATCAGGACCTCATTTTTAAAACAAAGTCTACAAATAATGTTGCATGTTTAGAAAACTGTAAAATAACAATCGATAGACAAAGTTATGACCTGCAGAAATGTTTAAGGAAAGTCAACTAAATAAAAATGTATTGATATTATTTTTAATTATTATTATATACATATATTAATATTTTACTTAATATATAATTTCTTTCATCGTATAACATAATTTAATAGTAAGTGCGACACGCAACGTTGCCATACTGGCTGCCTATAATCTGTGTACTCTGATAATTTTACACTAACTATTAATAATATATTTCTTTTTAACAATACAAATGACGATTTTGTTACATCAACTACAATACGTAAGTGTAGAATTCATTAAATTGAGTATTTATGTTATAGTTACTATACCAAAAAAAATCTTAATCAGGATTCTTCTTATACCATCAGGATTATTCTTAACCATACGAAATGAGTAAAATCTCTTCCACCAAGGAAACATTTATTTAGGTGATTTAATCTCATTTAGCTCAAGACTACGGAATATTGGGCATAAAGGATATATTCGATTCGATAAATATTTTTCTTGTGTGCACAAATGTGGAATAAACAAGCGAGAGATTAATAAATATTATTTTATTATGTATTTTGAAAATAACATGATAGAAAAAAAAACTATAAACATATAAGGTGATTTTCTTATGAACTCATATGCCAATTATATTTTATTTTTAGTTATCACTTATTTGAGGTCAAAAAAAATCAAGTATAAATTCAGATTGCATTGACACATCGCTAGATACATTCAAAAATTACAGTGAAAGGTACACTATGTTGAGATCATTTGTCATACTTTTATCTCTACAAGTATTTAGCGCATTCTGTTTCAGTGCAGAGGGTAAGTTTTAGGCTTTTTACTTTCATTTAGTATTTAATATTTTTGTAATAATTTTTAAGCAGACAAGGTTAAGTCGATTCAGTATCATAAATATTTGGAAAGTTTTATTTTTAATGCTCTACACAAAACGTTCCTTTAACAATTATTAGAACAGTGAAAAATCTTCACCCAAATTAAGACTTAACTTTCGCACATATAAGCGAATCGATATTTCCGTTATTTTTTAAAGTTTGACTAGGACCTAACTGTTATATATCCAATTTGGTTGCTAAGCTATGATATACTTGATTGGCTATTGTTGGTGATTTAGTTAAATCCAGTTTTTGATAACCCAAGCGTTAGTAAAACATTTTGCAATTTAATACAACATGTACTTTTCTTACAGACTGTCTTAAAGATGTGGCCGCACCAAATGTGTGTGATGCATATTTTACTGTTTTCAAGTGGAACAATAAACTGCAAAAATGTGAATCAGCCGTTTACGGAGGTTGCAATCCAACCAAAAATAATTTTCCTACAATGGAGGAATGCCAGCAAGTTGCAGAACCGATTTGTAAACGTTAATTGTCATAAATCTGATTGATGATTAAATCTTTTAAGAAAATGTGTTTTCTTTTTTGATAACCGAATAAAATTACAAACACTGAAGACATAAAAAACATATCTTGCTATTTTCTGTCTTTATTAAGGATAATCGTACTGAAGAATAGTTTCCTTTTAATTAAATTTAACCTGTCAGTCAGTGAATGTTGTCTATTTAGTTAAAATAATTAACACATTATTTTGACAAAATCCAGTCGTAATCTGAATGGCATTGAGTGTATTGTCCTTTTTAATTCAGTTTACCTAAATGTTTATTTTTCTTACCGACTACAGTATACAAAAAATGTGAGTAAAAATAATTTAATATAATAACAAACAAACATTTTCACAAACCACGTGAAATAGCATACGTTCGATTAGTATGATTTCTACTTCCAATAACAATCATTGGAAAAAATTTGGTTTCATAAAATAACTAATAAATTATTGAACGTCATTTATTATGATTGATTGTGGCGACAGGGAAAAACGTTAAAAGGTTTTGTGAGAAACTGTATAAATGTTAATCTTACTGTGAACTATGACATTAATTATATTTTAATTGTAGTTATCACTTAGTTCAGGTCAAAAACATCAAGCACAAATTGAGAATGCAATAAAATATAATACAACATATCGAGAAGTCACCACAGAATTCACAATGTTACGATTCTTTGGATGTTCGTTACTTTTCCTGTTAACCGTACAAGTGATTTGTTTCAATAAAGAAGGTAAGTCATATTACGTAATTTCTAATCACACGCATGCGAGCATAGCTTCATTTTACGATTAATTTAAAATGTGTATAATTCCGATAACAACAAAATTTTATAGCGGTCGTATACGATAATATTACTGGGCAGATTGTAAGAACAAAACTGAAAGTGGTATAACTGACGAGGTGTTTTGGTGTCACAGAAGTTTCAATTTGCAAAAATTAAGCAAGGTTTCATTAGTCTCAACAATGGAATACTCACATGAATTAATAAACCGAATAAAAACATACATTCATAACATATTTCATCATTAACACATCAACAAAAACAGCTATACTGATTTGTTATCGTTGTCATATTTAGTCAATACGAACTTTGATTTTAAGAGTTCTTAAATCATTATTTTTTCACTGGGAAGAATACTGAAAAGAAGTTTTCGGAAATTTTTAGTTTTAGGCATCAAAATATTGTTGTGACATTTTCACATCTAATGCTAACTATTTTGTGCTACAATAAATATTTCTTTTAGATTGTCACGATGATGTATCCGGCTCCAATATATGTGATGCTTATTTTATGGTCTTCAGATGGAACGACACACTTCAGAAATGCGTATCTGAATTTTACGAGGGCTGTAAGCCAACGAAAAATAACTTCCATACTATAGAACAATGTCAGAAGATTGCTGAACCAGTATGTAAAGGGGTAAAATAACAAACATTATTTAATTGTAATGAAATGACTAAGTAAATAAATAAAATTTGCAGAAAAGTATTTACTGTTATTTTAATACAAAAAGTTACTAACAAAACGTAGTAAATTAACCCAAAAACGTATTTTTCCTAAAGTGTTTCATGTGTCTTAAAAATTATTATTTACTTAATAACATTTAAAATACTGAAAATAATAATATGTTTTAACAAACATTCCAGTCCTGCTATGAAATATCCGAATGTAGATATCTTTTTATGGATATATTTGATGTAATTTTTACAACTAGAGAATTAATTAAAAAGTTCTAAATCCAGTTCTATCCAAACAGAATTAAAGTGTAACCAAAGCTTATTAAAAATATTTTACTTTTGTTGGTTGTCACATACTAAAAACAATACTAGTTATAATTATAAATCTGAAATAACTAAGAACTGCGATTAAAATTCTTAATTAAATCATCATTTTTTCATACATAGTTATTGTTTTTTTAAAGCGAGCATAGCAAACATAAATTCTGGATACAACTGTGAAAGATCCAAGCAGGGTATTTTGTGAAATAATTTCCGAATGTGCAGCATGTCAAGATTTTTCAAAAGTCTACTTGTCACCATTTTAGCTTTACAAGTATTTGGCGCGAGGGGTTTCAGTAAAGAAGGCAAGTCAAAATATCTATTTTTATCGTTGTGCCCTCCCCAGTTGTTTGAGGTATATTTTTATTTATTTTTTTTAATTTATTATTGTGTTATTATTAGTTATTAATGGTCGTGGGTTGGATATTTTGTTGTTCTATTTTATGATATTATTTAAGTTGTTATAATTAGTAAAGCAGGGGCGCCAGTCGAATGAATCGACGAGGAAGGGGGGAACAAGATAAGCAAAATAATTATAATAGTTCTAAATATAATTTTAATGTAAAAATTAGTTGGGATTGTACAATACAATAGAAATATGTTTTATTAAATAGTACATATAAAAGTTTAGAAAATTTAATTAATTGAAAGGGCCGCCCTTTTCGGTAAGTATAAATTTATAGTTAAAGTTGCTATTTTAAGATTAATGTACCATTACAGGTAAATATTAACATATGAACGTGCAAACTTGCAAAAAAAATTGACAGACTTACAGACTAAAATGACAAGAATATTCTAAAAGCGAAGGTAAATTTATTAACGTTCTTCACGTGCTCTTAAGGCTTATAGGATTCAAATTCTAGGTGATCCTTTGCTGGAGAAGACAGTGACGCTGCTCAGTATAATCTGGTTGAAACCCAAGAGATAAAAGAGGAAAATGTACTCACTCATTCTCAGAGAATTGGTACCTTACAAGGACATCGTCAGTAGTACATTTATAAGAAAATGGCTGTTCTCTGGTGTGGCTTCAGAATTAATTCCATTTACTCTTTAAGTTCTGCATTACAGAGGCAAATATTATCAACTTCTTTAGTGTGGCTGGTGGTGTCTGGCTACTAAATCTTCGCCAAAGCAAAAGCAGTGATAGTAATTTGTTTTTTGTTTCTTTTCTCGGTATAAGTAAATATATATATATAGTTTTGCTTTATTTGGTCTAGATGGAAATGTTATAAACATATTACTCAAATCAAAATTAGATGTGAATATCTATTAAATATAATGTATTATTGTTATTAGGTACCTTAGATCTTATAAGGTTTCACACTAACGGTCAACTTTTCACTGCGAATCGCCTGTGTCTTTATTTTGCGAGATTCTTTTTATACTTACAAAAACTTATCGCTATATGCTGGGAAATATTGTTAGCAGTCGAATTGCACATTGAAATGTTATTATGATAATGATGAAACTAAATCTAGAGAAATATCAATAGCTCACACAAAAAAACAAAACATATTTAGCCTCTTATGCAGCTTATTTATGAGTACATTATAAATAATACAGGGCGAACCATTTGATATAGTGTCACATCGTGCTTAGCCCGAGATTACTTACTACTACTAAATTATTTTATCTTTTATTTATTTACTTCGATTACTAACCTAATTAGAAGAAGATAATGAAGGAATAAAATATTTTACATAAACAAAAACCAAATTGGATTCTGTTTTAATATATCACGTGACATATTAGCAGGGCAAGTTGGAGAGTTGAAAATTCCCCCCACCACTTTTTCTCCCCCACCAGCTTCTGGGCGGGGAAACTGGTGGGGGGAGGAAAAGTGGTGGAGGGGAAATTTTCAACTCTCCAACTTACCCTACTCATGTTTTAGAAAAGTTACAAAAACTGCATTTTGATAAACATCGCACCACAAATATCAATATTAGATACATTATTTTCATTTACAGATTGCCTGAAAGATGTGCATGAGGGACCTGGACATTGTTTAGCAAGTATACCGGTTTTTAAGTGGAACAGTGAAATTCAAAGTTGCGAATCTACAATTTATAGAGGTTGCAATTCAACACCTAATAATTTCGATACCTTGTATCAGTGCCAAGAAGTTGCAGAACCTATCTGTGAGGGAATAAAATGATGTCGAAATTGTTAATTAATTTATTAATTCATATGCCAAAATTCAGGTATTTTATAATAATATTAATATAACTAATAAAGTCCCTCAAAAACAATTTCAAAAGTAAAATTACTGCCCTGTAACTATTAAACGAATTAGTTTTGAATTGTAATAAATTGATTCAAATTCAACAGATTTTACTTATGGTTGTTATATAACTTTTGTTTTCTGGAACTACTTTTAGATATAAAAAATGCTATATCTAAGGTGTTGCAACTTTTTACGTTGATTCAAAATATATCTACTTATTACCTACCTACTACAAATATTGAAAGTGCTTTTATTATAAGGTACTCATGTAGATATACAGAATGTCCCGGTACTTGATACAAAAAAGTCGAGTACAAATAGATGAGGTCAAGAGAATACTAGTTCTTCATATAATTTATTTTTCATACGGGCCTTCGTTAACAAGTTACGGGCCCTCAAAAGTGAAAATTAAAAAGTTATTTTTATTTACTGTCTCTGAATTATTAAATTCAACATGATGCAAATTTGGTGATCGATAACACATGCATACGGCTTGTTTTTGATATTGTAAGTGAAACTTCACTATGTCCAGAACGCCAGGGACGGACTACGCCCAATGGTAAACAACCTACAATTTTTGCATAGATGACGATAGCAATCTGCCTGCATCAAAAATAAGTTCCCTGAAGAATTTGCCAACGATAATATCATCTTGGTTCAACTCGGTAAAATTAACAGTTCAGGAAATATTTGTGATTTTATGTCACAGTGCACATCGAGCAGGACCTCCACCATTTTTTGTTTTTAATTTTTAATTGGACATAATTACTATGTTAGATCTGCATAAATTTTTAAAATAAGAGCCTGGAGAATCTTACTGTCTGCTAATGTAATTTTCACTAACATTTGTCAAACACAATAGAAAAACAAAACAAATTAAAGTAAGTTTTCAACTCCAAATATCGATGTCCATTCAAACGTGTCTCAAAAACGTATAGACCTATTAAATTATTACCCACTATTAATGTATGGGCAGGAATAATAATAATAATAATAATTTAATAGGTCCATACGTTTTTGAGGAACGTCTGAATAGACATTGATATTTGGATTTTTTGCAAAATAATTGGCAGCCTATTAGACGATGTTCCAATAGACACCCGAAGAAATGTTTGGTTCATGCACGATGGGGCTTTTCCCCATTTCAATATTCATGTAAGAAACTATTTATCCATTTAATTGTGTTTAATAAGAAGTAGATTGGGAGAGGAGGCCCAATTTCATGGCCACCACGTTCTCCAGACTTCTTCCTGTGGGGATACCTGAAAAACTTTGTGTACTCAACCCCAATATAGACAAGGGATGAATTGCTACAAATAATTAATTTCCATTGTGATAATATTAGACATACCCCAGAAATTCTTATTCGTGTACAAACAAATAACATTCATAGACTTAGGAAGTGTGTGGAGGTGGAAAGTGCCCATATTGAAAATGTACTATGATAGTTTCTTCCTTTTATATTATTTTTTTAACTTACTTTAACTTATTCTTGTTTTTTTTTTCTATTTTATGTTATGTGTAAAGTGTGTTTGTCAAATTTTGTTAGTGAAAATTACACTAGCAGACAGTAAGATTTTCCAGACTCTTATTTTAAAAATCTGTACGGTTCTACCATAGTAATTATGCCAAAAAAAATGGTGGGAGGCGCCACTCGATGTGCACTGAGACATAAAATCGTAAATATTTCTTAAACTGTTCATTTTACTGAGTTGACCCAAAAGGGTATTATCGTTCAGCAAATTCTTCAGGGAACTTATTTATGATACAAGCAGATTGCGATCGTCATCTATGCAAAAATTATGGGTTGTTAACCATTGGGCATAGTCCGTCCCAGGCGTTCTATGTGTAATTAAGTTTCACTTACAACATCAAAAACAAGCTGTACGCATGTGCTACCGATCACCAAATTTGCATCCTACTAAAGTTAATAGTTTAGAAACTGTAAATAAAAACAACTTTTTAATTTTCACCTTTGAGGGACCGTAACTTGTTAACAAAGGTCCGTATGAAAAAAATGTATATAAATAACTGATATTATTTTGACCACATCTATTTGTACTCGACTTTTTGTATCAAGTACCGGAACACCCTGTATATAACAGCAAAATATATGACGATAATTTTTTTTTAAAATTTTTTAAAAAATAGACCGAAGAGTTCTTATCTGGAAAACAATATTATATGTGGCCACACAATTTCGTTCTAAATGACTTTTCTTCATTAAAAAATAGCACAATTTTTTCTGCAAGGTGCTTGTTGGACCATCGCTTTTGATTTTTTTTAATTTCCCGTCAAATATCTAAAGAGTAACGGCACTTTTTAGAGATTGTGATGCAAAGGTATTGCCAATCTCGATGTTATTTCTAAAAATTTATGAAAATTTATACGATGACAAATTGTGTAAAAATTCGACGTCATTTTATATAATGAAAAATATTTGACTGTGTTTCAAATATAATTTACAAAGATTGTTCAATATTTAACACAATAATAACAATTAAATCATTATTTTGTCTACAGCTATCGTTTACGTGACGTCAAATAAATCAAGTATAAAATCAGAGCATTGACACAAACAACAACATTTGGAAAATAAATCCAGAATCCTTCTTTTAGTTATTCAAATAGTCACTGCAGCATGCTTTGATGTAGAAGGTGAGTAGGTATTTACTTTTATAGGAATATTAATAGCTTTTAGTTTAAAAAATATGTTGCTATTTGTTTGGACAATTAGTAATTTCGGTTTTAATAAAATTTGGTTACTTACTTTAAAAAATATGGATTAAACAGTTTAAAATAATACAGACAAGCCACAGGTGTCAACTTATAGCTATTAGTTAGCTAGTGGTGCTTTGGTAGTAGCAATTAATTACAAATATTATTTCCTAGCATAAAAAAATTATTTGCTTTTAGACTGTCACAAAGATGTAGAAACTGGACCTCATTATTGCGATGCGGAAATCCACGTTTTCAAGTGGAACGATCAACTTAAAAAATGCGAATCTTCTTATTACGGAGGATGTAATCCAACAAATAATAATTTCCGGACTGTGGAAGAATGTCAACAAGTTGCAGAACCTGTGTGTAGAGTACAAAATAAATTCTAAAGAATTATTTTATAACTAAAATAGTTAATATGGTTTTGTAGAAATTAGGATAATTTTGATTTGTTATTATAAAAATGTAACAAAACTTCAACAGTATTTTTCAGTCCCCTCCACTTCCCTCAGATCTTGAACGAATCTTAAGCTTTCTTTGGTGATTTCATTAAAATTGATAAAATTCTTTTTTAATCTCACATCAAAAATACATGTTTTTTTTCTAAGAAAAGTTTTGGAACGTTGAAGGAAATTAATAAGTACTTACTGTTTTTAGTTTTGATAAATGTTTTATGGAAAATATTAATAATACAAATCCATATTTTATCACAAAGGAAACTCAATTTAATTTTTAATCGAATATAAATCATAATTCGATTACGCAATTTTATGCATTTTATACACATGTACTGTTTATGCTGCCATTCAAATTTAGTATAAATTCCAAATAACACCTATACGCTTTGTGAAGGCAAAACAAAATTCTACAACATGCCAAAACTGGTTGGGTGTTCTATTATGATCCTCCTACTTCTTCAAGTATTCAACGTTTGGAGTTTCCGCAAACAAGGTAAGTTGAAGTATACATAACAAAATATTTGTTTTAGGTCAAATATGGGGATTCTTAGGAATTATAATGAAATATATTTAATTATAGATTGTGTCAAAGATGTACACGACGAACGTAAAGTGTGCTATGCAAGGATACCTGTTTTCAAATGGGACGATACAATTAAAAATTGTGTACCTGCTATTTACATGGGTTGCCATCCAAGCAACAACAAATTTCATTCTATAGATTCATGCCAACGAATCGCAGGACGTATCTGTAAGCATTAAAAACAATAGATGGGTTTACTTTATAATAAAATTCCTGATATGTAAACATTAATAAATCCTTGCAAAGGCAGCTTTTGTGTTTTTAAACAGACTGATGGATTGTAAAGTTTGCAACACAATAATGAAAGTAATATGTTGCAAATTGATACAAAGGTAAGTAATGACTAAGTTAAATTGTCCTTTTAGAGATAAAATATTTCAAAACTTTTACTTTTCATATGTACTGTTTCTCAGAAAAACAAAGTAGGTACTAAAAATTTTTTAATAAAGAAGCATGCCATTATATAAAATTAAACATGCAAAATTAAACAGGGTATTACTAGATATACGGTCCGTACGATATTTGTCGAGATAAAATTTTAAGAAGACCTCTGCGTCACTTTCTTGGAATTAACCGCATTCGACACCCGAGTCAGAAAGGCATTGGCAGCGTGGCGTTCACGTAGCCTCTTGGACTGTATACTGTCTTTTGCGTGTTTCTTCGTAAGTATATCATCCTGTGCATTTTCAGTGTACTTTCGTTTAAAATAAAACTATGGAAGTGAAAAAATAAAGGAATTTAACCCGTTAACGCCTGAAGGGACGTATTTTTTTTTTCATTTTTCAACGGCTGCGATGACAAAAAAAGATCGTAAAAAATTTTTTTCTTGAAAATGGTGGGGTTTCGGAAAAAATTTATAGAACAAAAAGTTGTTAAAATTATGCAAATAATACGCTTAATTTTTTTCACCATTGTTTGAGACGTTTTTACATTTTTCAAATTTGTCCGTTTTTTGAAAAAATCCAAAAATCATTCCAAAAATTCTGGAAAAATTTGAATGTATTCTCTAATGAATTTCAAGAACTTTTCGCTCCATAATTTTTTTCTGAAACCCCAATTTTTTTTACGAATAATTGATTCAAATTTCATCGGATTTGGAAAAAAACATGGGTTATGAAATGAAGTTCCAATCTTTTAGCTTGAATGAGTAGTTAAGTTTAAAATGTACTGGCTGATTCAATATTGTATCCCGAAAACTATAAAAAACATGTTCGTCGAGTGTGCCATCTTTTGATTTGTTTGCCGTATCTGATTGATGCATTATCCAACTTTTACCAACCTGGAAGCCGACGAACGACTTTTTTAGGTTTTTTGTTTTTTTGTAGATTTTTTATTTTAATATTTTTTTTGTAATTTTATTGTTTTATTTTTATTACGATAAAATTTTTGTATTGATTTTTGGATTTTTCAAATTTGAAAAATGTTAAAAAGTCTCAAAAAATTGTGGAAAGCCACACCATTTTCAAGAAAAAAATCCTAAAAATTTTGAGTTTTTTTTTCCTTTGAGCCGGCAGTCTGGGTCGCTGACATAAAAAAAATTTTTTGGATGCATGCTTCTTGAAGTTTAGGGTCGTATGCCACGATATTTTTACTCCACTTATAAGTAAATCCTTATCTAATTTCGAAGCAGAAATCCAGTTTGAAAAACAAATAAGTGAAAAATTTTGATTTTTTAAAATTATTTTACGATCTTTTTTTTGTCATTGCAGCCGTTGAAAAACGAAAAAAAATACATCTCTTCAGGCGTTAACGGGTTACTTCCCAGTCGAAGAGTATCGTGTTTAACCTGTACTATATTATTTATTTTAAGACAATTTTTCGAAATGAAAAATTTCCAGGTACGCGGTAAATTGTTACAATTGTTCCGATAACAGGACTTTATTGGCTTATTCTTTTCTACTGAAAAATTGCAAGGAAACTTCATCATAACTTTTTAACCACACTCAAGCTTCCTTTCTTAATTTTTTTTTACTAATATGGTTTTATCAGTTGTTCCCTTTAAAAATGGGGATGATGTTAGCTCTGTAATCGTTTTGTATATTGTACTTCTTATTGCCGATCAAATAGCACCGATTTATAGCATGATAGCAATTTTATTATAATTGTATTGTTGCTAGATCGCCACTTTTTTCGATATAACGGGAAATTTTCTCCTCCTGTTTATGAAATACCATATACAGGGTGGTCCACATTTTTTTGATTAAACTTCAAGAACCAATACATCATCAAGAAATAATGTTAGTTTGCTAAATAAACTATACCCGACAAATGTTTACTTTTTGAGATACAGCACGATGAAGTTTCCCGAAAAACAAATATTTTTCGAATTTTTCTGTAAGTGATCAACTTTCCTCCGTAAGATTTTTATAAATTATTTGGCACTGAGCGTGTGATCTTTAGAGAATTTTTCAATTTTTTTACTTTACCAGTGGCGGAGAAAATAGGGGTTCCTATTGCTTTAGTAAAAAATATTAGTACGCCACTGACCTTAAATTTAAAAAGCAATATGTTTTGGATACTCTGTTAATTTTAGACAAAAAATTATCCTTGTAAGATTTTCATAACTATTACTATTTTCATGTAAATTACTTCTTTGGATAGTACCTACGTTATTTTTATGATTCCTTTGATATAACGATCTATCATCTCTCATAGCAGGTGAGATATTTATTTTTTTAATCCTTGTCAGTCAAGGCAACAAAGTTTAACGACGCCACTTCAAAAGGATCAATTAACTAAACATTCGCACTAAAAAAATAAGATAAGCCAACCCCTTTTTGTTTTATTTTTTGGGTGTAGTGATTCACTAATAAACCGAGCTAAAAAAATGTCACAAACAATTCTACATTATTTATATGTTATTGTTATTAATCGTCTTATCTGCTATTGTGCTAGTATTACGCTATTATATTGCTTATACTTATTTTCGATAACGGAACATATCCGTGATTTAAAATTATTAGTTATCAGTACACCTATGTGATCGATAAACGATCTAAATATAACATACAAAGCGTGTTGCTTCATAAATGGCCACTGTTATTGAATATCTAAACTGACAGAGAGGGACCTGCTAATCTAAAGGTAGCATGAAAGCAAGACAAGTGTTGACAAAACAAAGTTTTTAACTAACTGCAGCAAATTGCTATTTTACGTACTAATGTCCCGACCAGCATTGAAATATACCCGCAATATTTAGGAACAACAAAGATGGGTGGGATGTAACATAAAAGTGTTATGCCTTAAATTGTCTCTGCCACCCATTGGTTATGCTTAGCTGTTTAATAGATATTGTTGGTGTCATTCAATGATATTGAAGCGTCAGCAAAGTAGTTGTTTCGGACAATTTTATTAGTTAAACTTAGTGTCGCGTAGTACTATACTGGCCAGTTTGGAACTACCAAGCATTAACTGGCAGAAACAATTTGAGATGTAATTGAGATGTAACACAGTTTGTATGTGTATATACCTTTATTACCAAACTACTACAAGTTATTGACCACAGAGTCTCCGTTTTGCAAAGATTGCATGCAGTATCAGCCATTCACTCAAATTTTGTTACAATTCTCCAATTAAATAAAACTTTTAACATAAAAAAAGGGAAGTTGAATCCGTTCTGATAGGCGCCACGGGTAATACGTCAATACAGGGTAATTCACAACTTATCCAAAAAAATTTGGGAATAGATGCAGCATGAGAAATGGATTCAATATCGTAAAAAAAAATTGTAAAATACTTATAGTTTCCGAGAAAAAAAATATTGAAGTTACAGTACATTCACCCATTACATAGCTGGACAACTGTAGTCTTTAGCGTCATTCGCCACGTGGCCTCAGCGACTCCGAATACTGAATTCGGATTTTGCAATCGTCGTTGCGATATTTACTTGCTATCTGTGGTGTTTACAACAGGTTTTTAGTAGTTAGTTGTTACGGGTTTATTTTGTCACCCTGTAAAATGCCGAATTTATTTTATTGCGGCAAAATTTGGACGATTCGGTTCCACAAAATACCGACATAACTATTTCAATTATAATTATTTATACTTAACATTACTTCATTGATAACAAGAAAGAAAAAGATCAATAAATATTATTATATCAATAATTTCGCTCCAGCTAGAAATGAACGGCTTTATAATTCTATCACCGCCGAGTATGGGCAAAAAGACGATAAGTTTTTGTGGCTTGAAATAAAATTAAAGACGGACTTGGTATTTAGGCTTGAAAGAAAGCAGTCAAAACGTAAAATTGCGGATCTACCCCAGTTGATTAATTAAATAATCCGTTGCACTGCGACCACTGGTTATTGTCGTTGTAGGTAGAACGCAGATTAGTGTCTGGATTTTTGGTGTGAAGTGCAACAGGACTTGATAAGAAAGGCCGCACAACATTTCGGGTAAAGCAAATTGTCACATTTTGGTTTCAATGAGAGCCGTTTATACAAATTTGAGGAGGTGAATCTAGTCACCCTCACTGCCTTTATTGCCCGCAATAACTCCGTTCATTTCTAGGCCTTTTCTTAGTGATTGTCTATGGTCGTCCATTCTGAGACCAACTTACATAATACATCGTGGAGCTAGCAGCCCCAATAATTTGATAGAACATCGGAAATCGGGGAAACGAAACACCAGCCGCAACCCCAAAATTAGCACGTGGTCACTGCGTGGAGGACTACTTATCACCCAGGATCCTTATATCACCGGACGATAAGGTCATATTTATAATTTATATCATTTTACGTTACCCGTTAGTCGTTCCAAGATTCAACCGGTGGAGCCACGCCCTTAAATGGTTTACCATTTTATTGAAAGAAGCCCTCAAATAATTTATTGCCATTTAATGTTACATTATATTTAACGCTTATACGCCTGTAAACCCCATAGTATATACTACGGGGGGGCCTTCTTATTCCTCATATTAATTGTACTAAAATATATACCATTGGTTTGTAACACAAACGGGGACGTACTGGTACGATTCTGTAACCGTTTTGGGTCTAGTGCCACCCCCTATTGCCTATTCTTATTGTGATCATAGTTTGACCAATCAAAGCAGTTATTAGTCATTGTTAATTGATTTTTTTTTCCTTTTCATTACAATAAATCTTAAAGTTACTATACTCTTTCGTTATTTTATAATTTTTGTTTAGTTATCATAGCCTTGATGCACCAGCAGAGATAGAGACTGCACCTGCACGCCCTAGCTCACTGAGCTGCCGGACTCTCTGCTAACTTTGCAACCGATAAGTAAATAAAAAGGCTATATATAACTAGCAGTCTCGACCCTTTTAGTTTTTTAGTATGCTGCCATGACCATGAGTGGGCAAACGTAGCATAGTGTCAAAAATGGGTAGTTTGTGTCAAAAATGGTTTGCGTGTACTCGGAGTTGATGGATATCGTTTTAATTTGTGGTGAAGCATTTGTGTTATGGTGAAACAAGACAACATTTGTGTTAGTTCGTAGAAACTGAGTACAACGGACCCAAATGTGTCAGAGCTTGTCAAGTGTACCGTGCAAGATATCCTGAATGACGTGCCCCCGCACCTCGACCATTTGTTGCTGTAGCGCAAAGAGTTTTGAACACCGGTGAAGTACAACTGCGTCGAGGTCGCGACGGTGGTCCAGGGCGATCTCTAAAAGCGGGTATCCAATTGTGGCAATGCTCCGTAACGTAACAACGAACATGTTACGGCCTGTTGCAAAAGGTGACACGATTCGCTGCGAAAGTATGTGTGGTTTTGGTCGTATCATTCATTCCGTAACGTAACAAAATAAGGTTACAAAACGACACAGGAACATAAACTCGCAGTATGAACAGTATTGACTGCAATAATGAATTCGTCACTGCAATTGCAGTTAGCAGCAGCGTCATATATTTGAAGAATAAGAAACGGAAATATCCGGAAATCTTTTCCTTACTCCACTCCATGGTACAGGCACAGAAAAAACACAGTCTTCCTAGTCACTGCAGAAAACAGACTGACCCCAGACCATATACAAAAGACTGACGAAACAAAAAATAAGACAAAATCACATCTGCAACAGGCAACGTTATGGCCAAAAGGGTAACCCCGCCTCAACATGTGGCAGAAAGTACTGTTGCATCCCTTTGATGCGACGACTAAAAACCGACAACTGATGGTTCGTCCCGGATTATCAAATTTGTTACACGTACCATGCAACAACTTTCCGTCTCCACTAGTTGTAACGTAACATGTTTGGTGTTACGTTACGGGGCATTTGACATAAATGGATAGCCGCCTTAAGAATCTTAAATTTCGAGGAGATGATTTTAGATGCTCGTCGAAGAAGATCCGCAACATAGCACCAGAAATATCGCACAGCAAGTAAATATTTCGCATCCTGTTGTGTGGCGGACACTACGAGAAGCTCAATTATAATCATTTCATATTCAACGTGTTCAAGCGCTTACTCCTGAGGCTTTTCCACTACGTCGAGATTTTTGCGAATGGTTGCTTCATTCAGGAACATGCAAGAAATCCTCAATTTACAGCGCAAATACTTGTTACAGATGAAGCATGTCTCAGTCGAAATGGTGTACGTAACGTCCACAACACTCACTGGACTATCGAAAATCCACACGAAATACGTCGCGGTGCCTTTCAGCAACAGTCTTCAGTGAACATGTGGGCAGGTATCGTTAATGACACTTTAATAGGACATTTTGAATTGCCTAGACGCTTAGACGGTGCTCACTTTTTTCAGAGATAGCGGGACTTTCTAAACTTTACTTTTCCCTGTAGCTGGATATGCCTCGGCAGTCTAGTTAGATGGCCCCCCGGACACCGGACCTCACCCCTTTAGACTTTTTTTTGTGGGGATATGTGAAAAGTGTGACATCGACTAACTGCGACATCGTATTGCCGAAGCTTATATATGATTCGAGACGACGTGGCAATGTTGCAACGAGTGCGAGCGAATTGGATACGTTGCGCTGAAGCTTGTGTGCAAGCAAATGGTGGGTACATCGAACATCTATGAAAATCAACAGTTCTCAAAAGGTAGCTCCTTGCAATCTTGAGGTAAGCCAGATTTTAAAATTACATTACACTCAACACAAATCTGTGTATTTACCTCATTTTAACATAACGGATATGTGACAAAAATAATTGACATAGTTCATTAACACCCTGTATATTTAAATTATGGTCAAATTACGGTTAAATTTTTTATCCTGATGACCAAATCATTACAATTTATTTGATAAGAATATAATTTTATATGTTTGGGAAAAATTTCCTTAATAAAGATCAATTATTATTGAAAGACCCGTTTAATGTTTAATACTTTTAGTTTGGAATATATGAATTTATGATTCATGTAGTACCCTCAATATTTAAATTTGATTTGAATTTATCAATTTTTTACGTCTTGTGCACTTATCTAAATCTAAAAATCGATCGGTCTTATCAGTTCACATCAGCAATACGATATTTCAACATTGAACAAAACATGTTTTTTGAAATGAACAAAACAAAGACAAATATATTTATTTTTCTTACGTTCGCAATATTTTCAAGGTTAAACGTATTCGATATATATAAATTCAAGGAAGTAATCTAAGATGGCATTCGTGTTATGAGTTGAGAGAATAATGTTTCCCATATCTAAATTTTTTGTTAATTTGTTGCTAATTTTCTTGGCTCTACAAATATTTAGTGTGTCCTGCTTTAGTGTAGAAGGTAAGTGGGAATACATATAATAGTTTCCTCGTAGTGATTATAGTTTAAATAATTTTTGTATTTTTCTGTATAGAATACAATTATTTGCGTTTAATATGTTGACATTTATAAGTGTAATTGTTGATTCACAATAAAAGTATTGAAAATAAATGCTATTAGAAGCATTGTATTGGAATATTCCACCAATATTAATGATTCGTTTACAATGAGCAATGACAAACTCTTACGTCTACGCTCAAGATATTGCGACTGTTGATTGGTTGCATAAAATCTCATTAAAAATTACATCAGTCACCAGCCGCTGAAACAGAACGTTGTCTTTTAATGTAATATTGTCCTTATTGTTTTAATTTTACTGAAATTTGTCACTATTATTCGAAACAAAACTAATGATCACGTGGCTTTGTATTTGAATTTACTGAGCTGGGGCATTCAGTGAACCTGGTATTTTTTTTAATAGAAAAGACGTTATTCCCTCAGGTGTGTTTGATTTTTCTTGTAGACTGCCTGAAAGATACACAAGAAGGGCCAGAATTATGTGAAGCTTATATAAAAGTTTTCAAATGGGACGACGACCTTAAAAAATGTGAACCTGCAATATACGGAGGTTGCTATGCAACAAGCAATAATTTTGAGACTATAGAACAATGTCAAAATATTGCGGAACCTGTGTGTGCAAAATAATCGTCAAATTGTTAAAATAATGAATTTAAATAAACATTAATGTTGAAAAATTGTACTATTATTTTTCGGACGGAGATATCATGTCCCCAATGAAACTAGGTGACACAATAGAAAAAAAACAGTGCTATTTATTGGTGAAAAATGAGGATATCTCTCATTAAATACCCTGCAAGTCGAATTTATTATCTTCTGACACTCTCTATGAATAAATAATAAATTTAGAATGTCAGCATTTGAATAAATGTTAACATTTTCTATTCTTTAACAATAAATAATACTCAACTAAACATTCACTGTATGTGTTATTGTGTTAAATTGACAACAATAAACAGGTGACAGATTAGGTGCTTGTTTGAAGTTCCACTAAAAATTTCACAGCCAACCTCGCAAGAAATTACGGATATCCGTTCACTTCACGGAAAACAGTAAATATCTTAAAAACCAGAAGAGATCGATAGGTATAGGGAACCATTCGATAGAGAACAAAATTGTTCATCAGGTTGCGCAAAAATATACAGGGTGTTCCATTAAAAAAAAATAATATGTTAAGATGATTTAAAGTTGATTAAATTCAGGATTGAATTTCTACCACCCTATATGAAATTAAGTTATTTTGAAATTTTGTCAAAGAAGTTTAGAGTTTTAGTTATGTTCCCTATAAATTATATCTCTCTAACTTTATTATTGTAAAATTCACATCTTTTTGAATTAGGCAGTTAAATATATCAAAAACGGTTAACTTTATGAATAGGATACTTTTATGAAACTTAATCTAAAAATTGACGTAGATTCCAAAATTGCAATAATATACAGGGTGTTCCATTTAAAGATACATTTTTGTTAGCGGGTAGTAAGGATTGCAAAAAAATTGCGCCAATTATCTTCTTGGAGTTTTTAGAAAGAAAAACCCTTGGTTGCAAAGTTAAGATAGAGATTTTTTCTTGGAAGCACCGTGAAAAGTTAGAATGACGAAATTTTTAAAATATACAATGTACTGGCTTGCTGTCTACGCTAGTGGTACAGTATTTCTTTCTTTTTGTGATAATATCACTCAAAGAATCACTCTTTAAAGCTTGTCACTTATTTTAATTAACACCCTGTATATAATCACATAAAAAACTACATATAGGTATCATGTATGTCTTTATAACAAACAAATAAAATTATCAGAAACACTTTGCCTTATTTCCAGTTATCATTTAGGGTCAACAAATCAAGCATAAATTCTCAATAGCATTGCAAAATGACATAATATATTCGCAAAATAAGTCCACTCTTCCTTAGGAGTTGGGTTTTTAACTCCACAAATATTTGCGTGTAGTGTTTGAGTGTAGAAGGTAAGTAAAAGTATTAGTCTCTAAGAAATATTTGTATTTTATTAATTTTGAATATAGGTTACTAGTACTACTACGAAGTAGCTTTAAATTGATCATTTATATGATTACGTTCAAACTGTCCGGACGTGTGCTAAATAAATCAATTTCCTAAATGAGATACCTATGACAACATCATATAAATTCGTAGAATATACTGGTCATTTCAATTTGTAGCATCGATATAATATAATTGGGAACTTGTGAAGAAAATATTTTAGTACCTAAGAGAGCATGTTTATTTTTTTGGGTTGTCGCTGTGGCCTATGAATGTGTGAAGACTTACAATGCACTCCGTTAGTCTTAGCTAGGCATCTTTAATTTGCCCTTGTTGTTCTCGCACTAGTATTTGTGGGGACAGGCCAACTATCAGAACCCTTTCGCCCTGGCGTTGATTTCGGATCTAAACATTCGGTGAGTACAGAAGTTATTTTTTCTGACAGATAACCAATTTTAAAATCACTTAAAAAATGGAGAAGCCACAATGCTAGAATTTTTTAAGAGTGCATAGTTAATTTGCATGAAGATGATTCAAATTTCCTCATTAGATGTAACATCTATCTATTGGTATTATCACTATAATCACCTGTTATACTGGTTGCATAGAAACGTGGAACTAACATAGATTAGTTGCTGTATTCTAAAAATTTCCTCACCTTAGCAGCTAAAACAGCGACGTGTATCTGCGAACCATAGACTGCAAACCTATTTTAATATGTTTCGTTTTTCAGTAAAATATGTATATTATATTAAAGTCGTACCATATATCCCATGTAAAATAGTACACATTTTTTCATTATGTAATGTTGATTACCCATAGCTACTGTTACATGTTATACTGGTTGCGTAGAAATTTGACATTAACATAGGTTGGCTGTGTCGCTCTCAAAACTTGTTTTAAATATATTCCTTACTTTAAGAGATATGTGGGTACGCAAGTAATGTAATTTTTTGAAAATATCAGTTACAAGAAGTTTTCTTCTCGAAATAATTTTTTGTGTTAGTTTATCAAAGTCGAACGGTGCATTCTATGGAAAGGTACTCAAAGAAAAATCATTAAATGAGACTTAGAATATCATACTTTAGCTTTGACAAATTATAAGTACAGGATATTGAAAAATATACTAGTAAGAACATTTTGGTTCAGAAGATAGTTTATTTTCCAGACATGGGTTCTTACGATTGGAACAATTGACCAAAATCATCACCTCAAGCAAGGCTTAAATGAAACAAAAACGGATTTCCACGTTTCAAACGTTTTCTTTTTCAAATATTTCGAAAACTAATCATATTAGCCTTGATTTTTTAGAGACTGTTGGACACTTGATTACGCAACTTTGCCTCCATTTAAGCTACTTCGTATCTCTTACCGTTTCCGAGATCGCTGTAGAGAGAAGCGAATTTGTAACAGCTTGTGTATTATACACAGTGTGGCTTGGCCGAACTAAATGGAAGAATATTAGCAATAATTGTCTAATATGGGTTAAAATATTGCACTCCAGCCAAATACTGTAACAATTCAGTAAGATTACATTTGTGTAACGTTTTTAATACTACCTGGTATATTTTAAAATAAGCGAATATATATTTACAGAAATTTTTCTTTTAATTTGTGCAGTAGATTCCATTTGGACAAATGTTTTAGTTTTACGCGGTAAATTTACTACATTCAAGTACTTTTAATAAAAATTATAAAGCGATTTAATAAAAAAATATTGTATTAAAAAACATTTTTTTAATGACACTGGTACTATGCTTATATCCGAAACTCTGATTTTATCGTTGGTTCCAAATTTAAATGCAGTATTTGTTACAACCAAAATGGGACTATTTTGTTATTTGCATATTAAAAATTACATTATGTTATTATGTCATATTCTAAAAAAGGTTTATATCTGATTTAACTAGAATAAACGATATCTTAAAATTTAACGAAAAAATGAAATTATCAGAAGCACTTTGTCTTATTTACAGTTATCGTTCACTTGAGGTCAAACAAATCAAGTATAAATTCTGAATGGCGTTGCAAAATGGCACATTATATTGTAAAATAAGTCCAGAATGTATACTATATCAACATTTCTTGGAAGTTGGGTGTTTGTCGTGTTAACTCTCCAAGTATTTTGTGTGTGTTGTTTCAGTGTGGAGGGTAAGTGAAACTATTTGTTTTTTACTCAATTGTGGGAGGACTCCTTTATATAAAAATGTATAAGGTTAGGTTAAGTTTAGTTAAGACTATAATTCATCTCAATTTTTAACTAAACTGATTTGTTTATTTCAATACATTAGACTCGCATTCAATATTAAACAGCGTTCTAATTTATAATTTCACAATAATAGGAAATGAATCAATCTTCAAATATATGTTTACACTGACAGTCCAGAAAAGTTACAGTGATCACACGGAGTATTTTAGTGATAAAGAAAATTTTGAATTAAATTTGCAAAATTAAAAATTAAGTAATATAAGTTTAATCTCAGAGTCGATCACCTCTGTTTTAATATTTTATTTGACATATTTCGTCCGAAATTTCTTGATCTCTGAAATTCTTTGTATGGACCTAGATCATCTCCTGAAAAACAACATGGATCTCTTGTTTCATTATGAAAATATGATCACATTAATTTTCAGAGGCCGTCACTAATTATTTATATATAAATATTTGATATGAAAAAGGCGAAAAATGCTAAAATTTACGTGCCAAAGGCGACAATGACTTTTATACCTAGTTATTTCAAATAATTTTACAATTCTGCATTGTATATTTATGTTAGAACCACTTGCAACTGAAATGCAAAAGAAATTTCTTTATAAATAGGTTTATATTTATTTTAGAACTCTGTTTTACGCATTGTTATGTTATTTTTCATTTTATGTAACCACTTTTTGTTGTAATTTTGTATATTTTTGACATTTGGAAAAGTTTCCTATAAAAGGTAAAGATACAAAAGTTTATTTCTAGTGAAAACTACAGAACACTGCATACCTGCTGCTGTATTCTGTATTCCTAAAATAGGTAGATTTGTCTAATTTGAACAGCTTGCTTAAAATTTAAAAATTAAACAAAGTAAACGTATAACAGCAAAATTCAATTATGTAAACAAGATATTCCATGCACCTGGTGTTTATTTAAGTCTCAACACATTCAAAAAATTTATCCAAAAGTTAAGTTAGTATAAAACCGAAGAAGTTAAAAAAGAGTTAAATTATTATGAAGCTAATGCAGTCTTATGTGAAATACCTTCTATATAGACCAAATATATTATTTAAATATACATTATTTGAAGATTTATCAATTTATTTTTATTTTGTTAGAAATTAAAGAGTCTTACCAAGCTCCAAATATATTATTTGTCCTATTTATAATTTATTTTTTTTATGCTCTATTTAACTTTTCCCACATTAAAAAATTAAATGTTACCAGAGGGAGAGACCCGGTGCATTAAACACTAGCAAAAAGCAGTAGGCCTTTTACTTTCTAATGAAATTATTTTAATTTTAGATTGCCTCAAAGGTGTAGGTACATCCGTTACATGTTTTGCCTATATTCCGGTTTTCAAGTGGAACAGTGAGCTTCAAAAATGTGAATCTGCAGTATACGGGGGTTGCCACAAAACAAATAACAAATTTTTTACGATAGAGCAATGTCGACAAATTGCACAACCGGTATGTAAAGGCATAAAGTAACTTTAAGTTGTTTATTATATTATAGTTTAATTAACATTAATAAAATCGTTTGTACAAATATATAACTTATTTTTTAAAAGTACATACAGATGCCAAATATGTAGATATAGAGCCTTCATTAATGTTTACAAGCTAGGTGACCGCTGGTACAGGTAAAAAAAATCACAGTTTTATTGTTCCAACAAAATTTTTGGTCACGTGGCTTGCAATGAAGGCTCTGTACATACGATCTAAGACAACACGAACATGAAAGTATTGTACTTTTTAGATATATTTTCATTAAAATTATCGAAGAAAGATATATATGATTGTTAAATAGAACTCTTTACAAGTAAAATTGAAAATACAAACAAAATATTTTTGGAAAAGCCATGTCAAATTTAATACATCTCATTTTGAGTCAGCTATAAAGTTGCAATATCTAACTAAATATTTCATGTAATTTTGAATCCAGTAATATTTTTAACTTAATCATTATTTACAAAATTACCCAATTATTAATAAACTTAGAGCATCATTGGATAAAAATAATCTTGAACATATTTCAAGAACGTTATTCACATAATTCTTTTTATACTAATTTAAGTAGGAATCGAACAAATAATAATTTGATTATCTAAGGCGACGATTAGTTTCTGAAAAGTTTATAGACAAAGAAGTCTTTAATATAAGTTATAGGTATTTCGAAGTGTCAAAAACAAAAATTTTATACTCACATGCGCAGAAAATTATATTAATTACTTCCTAAATAGCTTTTGCTGTTAACAAAATACATATAACTATATAGAATTTTTATACCATCATAAAATCATAGTCAATTAGTCAAATCTATTATACAACATAATAATATTACAAATTTCATTCACTTTTAGTTCATTTATGAAAGTTTCTGACATTAACACATACGAAAAAAAAATCGGCAGCACCAATACCCTTGGAAAAAATGAAAAATCCGATTAATATTTTAAAAGACAGTGAAAATAAAAAGTAATATCTATATCCAACTCCAATAGGCTGCATTAAGGAATATATTATTGAAATACATTTTTATGCTTGGGATTAAAAATATACCATTGAGATATTTTTATTCATCATACAGTTTTTTGTACTTTCTTTTCTGTCATCACCACACTTTCACGAGGTATCTTACATGACTGCATATTTTCTTATCTTTGTTGCTCCCTAAAGTCACTTCTTACTCTGTATATTTACACTGCTATACCCATCTTTTAGGAAAACACACTTAATACGTTTTACAGGAAAAGGGCAGTACAAATTTGGAACCTTATTTTTACAAAAAAAATAAGTTTCACGAAAATTTCACTTATTATCATCTGAGAGTCTCGAAGATATCAATATTCCTGTATTGCAATATTCCGGTATTCTTAACCTAATCAGAGAATCAGTTTGAATGATATTTTTTTACAGAAGACATTAAAATAAAAACGAGACACACATCTATGTCTGATTCTTTTGTAGTGTCATATCTGTTACTTCAGAATGGAAGTGAAGACCTAAAAAGTACTTGTGAGCACTCCGTCTGTGTCTGAAGCCATAAAAAAGGACAATGTCCTTTTTAAGTGTTTTCGTTAAAAAAAAATGAATTTATCACCCTCTGCATCCATAAAAAGGACAAATGCTTTTAAGAATTATAAATGGTTACATCGAAAACATATTTCATTTCTGAAAAATTGGATTACTTGTAACAAACATCGTCTATAGAGGCAGATTGGTTTTGTTACATATGAATTATATATCTGTCGTTTTAATACAAAGTATTTTACTTTACTAGGTTGTTAGAACTGCAGAAAACACCTCGATGATTTTAAATTAAATTAATTTAGTATCTGGTTTCTATGTAAATAAAATTTATTGATAACTGGGAATAACAAAAATAACTTATTGTTCATATTACAAATGTTTCCATATAATTATGATTATTATTAACATTATGAGGAAAAGAGTGAACAGGATGTGCCATCAATAATGAGTAGGTTTCTCATAATATAGACAGAAAAGGAATTGTTCCTGCCACAATAGATTTCTTTTTGTTTCAATTTTGAGATAAAGTTTTTCTCATTTCGGCATCATTTCCAAAACCACTTTAAAAGTTTGAATTGTCAAAATAGAGTTAGGTACTTATTCAAAATTATTTCAGCACCACCTTATCTGAACAAGTATATTTTAAGAAAAAGTTTTATATGAACATTGGTTGTAGTTCGCTTTGTTTTTGAGATACAGGGTGTTGAAACCATAAAATATGTCACATTTTCTAAAATATCTTTAAGATATTTTAGAAAATGATATCTTTAACGTAGACTGATGGAAATTGGTTCACTAATTTATGTAAATAGAAGTAGAAATTCCCTAAGTTGATTTACAAATGCATCAAATGACGGAGATACGGAATTCGCAATAAAAACTATTAAACGAATTTGCAAAATATTCATCAGAAGTGTCGTAATTCTAATGAAACTACCCTCCTGTATATCCACTACTGATTGATTTATTTGTAAGACAACTTAGAAATTTTTCTTCTAACTGCTACAATTAGTCTACGTCAAGTATCCCTAGAGATATTTAAATAAATTAAGATCTACATTTGTATAAAACTTTTAGCTAAAAGTAATTTGTTCTATCATCCAGTGAAACTTCTCCTTAAAATTTGTTCCATCCATATTTTTGATATACCTACTATTTTAAGCAATAAATAAGACAAGTATATACTCACACCACTAGCAAACCAGGATCTGGAGACTTACCTGCAAATAAAAAAATATATACAGATTTTTTTTAAGAACAACTTAAATTACCACTACACACAGATATATGTATATTTTTGCTTCCTGAAATTATAAATTCTCTGAATTACTTTTTCCTAAAGGTACTTAAATAAAAACTATAAAAGGAGTGTTTTTGAGCATAAAAAAATACTTCACCATCCCATCACTTTACAAATGCACTATACATATTATGTAAAGTTGCATTCCATGTTCAATGGCAAGCTAACATTTCTCAGTTATTTTTAAAGATAAAAATTTTCAGTAAATAACAGTTTTTGTTGTATTTTGTGACACCCTGATATCATACATTTTCGTATAACTAAAGCAATTAAGAGAGATCAGTTCAACCTTCGAAAAACCTGCAACTCTGTATCTTCGAATACGCCCGAAAGTTACGTTAACTTTGTGTAGTAGATAACCAGTAAGCCAGTAACGTTTGATGAATCATAATCAACACGTATGTCGCTAACTCCAGTTTGTTACTAAAATAATGCAGCTATAAATGTCAAAATTAGAAAAATAGAGTAAGGGGTGGCTTTGTAGTAGGGTTTGGACATGTTAAACGGTGTATTAAGAGGGTCCTAACTACAGACTGTTCCACTACTCGAAGTTACTCTCCAAAGCCCAATTTACAATAGTAAAAATTTACATCCTTTATATTTCTCACAAATTATTCGCTGGAAAGAACAAACAGGATGTCCAAATCAAACATTGTATTTAAAATTAGATTTGCAATGTGCATACGCAACAAAAAACATTTTTTAATAATGTGCATACACAACTACTCACAATACAACATGAAACTATTAATTTTACTACTAATTTTAAACAAATATTAAAAAATAAGTATTAGTTTAGTATTTTTAACAGTGTACGACACCTATGAATGTTATCATGAACCAACTTCATTGATCATAGATTTCTTTATTGATATAGTTTAAGTGTGACAGCAATGTAAGTCTATTAATACCTAAATTAATCGTTAAAATTTATGAATACAAAAATTTGCAAATTTCATTTTTTTCTACATTAAAAAGTACATTTTCCATAAAACTAAGAAATGTAGTAAATATCTACGGTGTCACGAATATAAGGAAAAAACCATTTATCAATCCATATAAAAAAATTAGTGTTATTCGTTTAAAAAAAGTCAAATGTCGTGCACAAATAACATCTTCTGTATCAGCAAATTTTAATATTTTAATAAAAGTACCTACTATATGAAGAAAATAAACCTCTATTCAATTATTTATCTTTTATACTCATAATATCGTCGTCTGTATTAGTATCTAACATTTTAATTTACTTTCATCATTCATATTTAAACAATCATAGGTTTTTTTATTTTTAAAATGCACAGCGAAAAATATTTTATTAATGTTCTCAATTACTTGTATATAATTAGGCATATGTGTCTATTACCTACTAGATTGTGTTGAATAATACATTATGTTTTAAGATGCATCATTAAAAGATAATGATCATTTTAAGCTAAATTAAGATTGAAATTAAATAATATATTCTCCAGTTAAACATTTCAAACACAAGTACACATAAAAAGTACTTAGTAAATAAATAATAATATATTCCATTGTAAAAGTTTTACTGCCACCCTTATAATAGTTGCTCAATAATGATAATAAAAATATTCGTTTACTTGATGAATACGATATGATTTGTATCTAGATGATATTGTAAACAGAATTTTAGGGTAAATCTTGAAAATTTGATATAAAGTAAGTATATTACCTAATAAAGAACACCACACTTTTTTATTTTTCCTTCCAGAGCGATGGATACACAAAACGTCAGTATAACTGATGACAGCGTTTATTGTATTAGAGAGTTTGTTTTTGTAGAGAAACAGGGAAGCTTGAAATGGATTACATATCATAAACAAACACTATTCATTTACGTGATTCGGTTAGGGTGAGTTTCCAGTAAATGTTGGTACGTATAGGGAGGAACAACAAGATTTGACATAAGCGTTAATCTCAATTCAGCATATCTCATTCTAACTGAGATGTTGAAGTAAAAGCAGTATTTGCAAACTTAAGAGATAATTTTTAATAGGGAAACATTTTCAGTTATCAAAACCGTTACTAAAACTTATTGAGAAGTTCTGGAATCGGCTTCTGCATAAAAGGAAGTGAATAGTTGTGGCTGTAGATAGTTTGTAATCCGAAAAATTGATTCTTGTGTCTATGTGTTTCCATTGTTTAGCTTCAAACAAAATTATTAGTGAACAAATATTTAGGAAAAGCAATTTATTTTTCTGTATTTTTACTTTTTACTGTGTTTTGTGCTTGTGAAAAAACAGTCCGCCTGGGGTGCCAGTTTGTGTTAGTAAATGATGCGAATAAACATATCAATAATACAGCAACAATGAATTAATGCGCGCATAGTGGTAATATATAAAGCCGGTAATGAAAACTTTGAGTGAGTACCTGTAAATAGAGCTAGTTGAGCTATCGATGTAAGGGATTCTAAAACTATTTATTCGTATTATTGTGGTAAGTCACTAGATACATAAAAAATGCCCTATTTGCCAAAAATATTTCTGCAAATTGCCATTTTGCACCTAGATTCGTTTATTCTTCAAAAATCGTCTCCAAATTTGTAAACACCCTATATAATAGAGTATAATGAGTCAGTAGCTTAAAAACTTAAAATGCGTGTTTTGTTTTAACTCCATTTGTTAATGTTGGGGAAATCAAGTTTCATTGCTGCCAATTAAATGATTTTTTCGCATAATACAATACACAATATGTCCAATAACGTAATGTATAGTATTTCCGACCTAACTAAAGTTCAAAGAGCTAGGTAGTATGTACCAGGTTCGGTCGTTACACAGCAACTCGGCATTAAAATATTTGAAAAACTTGTTCCCATATTTATTTAGCCATACCCATACACAGGTCTAGTCGGAATAAACGTGGAGGTGGTAGGAATGTATACTCCCAGTTGAAGAATGCGCGCACGGACAAACGGCGCACAAACACAACCACACTGGGCGACTGGGCCATAAATTTCAGTTGTGGACAAATTGCCTAGCAGTGCAGTGCAGCAAAGAGGAATTTGGTGTGATTCAGGTAAAATTAATTTGTTATAGGCACTTGCTATTAATCATTCATATTACAACTGCGAAAGGGAGAAGTACAAGGGATAACATGGCATTTGGAGACATTTTGAAATGGAACAAAACGAAATACAGCCAGACAATATTGGATTAGTAGATCCGATTGTTGATGAAACAGATTTAGAATTAAAAAATAGAGAATTATATGTTCAATCTCAGTGTTTAATTTTAAATATTTACGATCGTTTGAAAAAGAGAGAAAATGAAAATCAGATAATGAAATTATAAATAGAATTCACATATTAACTAAAGTTTTAGGATCCACAACTTTTCGTGATATTAAACAAGGTGTTATAGATCATTGCGTAAAGAGGAAGCGAAAACAAAAATTTAATACATTATAAGTATACAAATTATTATTATTTTTTACCTTCAGCAGAAAACTTTTATGGACGCCTATGAAACTCATTAAATTTTATTGCTAGGCGTTTTTGTACATGTTCAACTGACCGGAAAGACTGTAACTGCAATTAGGAACTATAAAAGTAATTTATGAAGATGATATACAAGTAAATAAGTAAGTTCATGTAAAAAAATTAAATCAAATGAAAATATCAACGATACAAGCTCTTTTTATTATTTAATTATTAAGTATTATAAAACGTTAGCTAATATATGAAAATGCACAACCTCTCCATATCTACTATTCCTCTATGAGACTATTGTATTCCATAGAAACAGGATTGCAGATTTTCTTGAGGATTTCACTCAATTTGAAGTTATTCAAAGAAAGATATGTTTAGCATGTATGTACCCATTTTTCCTATTTTGTACCCTACTACTACTTTTTAAGTAAATCCGATTGATTTTCCACTACCAATTTTGAAATTAGCTGACTTTCCCAGTCCACAGATTAAAAATTATCAACGTTTAGAAAAGCTATTATCAGAATCTAAAATGGGAAATAGAAAGTCTTGAGAATATTTCAGGAGTGACACTAAATGAGCCAGCAGCATTAAAACTTTGGGAAAAACGTCTTCCAAAAACAATTCTTGTACGTGTTACTGCTTCTGGTTAAGCAGAAGTTAAAGACATTTTAGTTTTTATCAATATTTGGGAAGTCAACCAAGAAAACAATATTTCAGTCTTAAATTTGTTCAATGATCCAAATAATTGGGGTGTAGAATTTACCAAGGAATTATTAGGATGTAGCATTATTTACTAAGGAATTTCTAGTAACTTAAGGATGAATTACGAGATTTATTTTGAGAAACGGAAGCAGGTCTACACTTTTCAGGATATGACCATGACGGGTAGTCGAGTCTTCAATGTCAGTTAGAGGCTAGAGATATGAGCAGATGCTTACGCATGTATTTTCTGTACCATTGCTTGTGTCTCTAGCCTCTATCTGACACTGAAGACTTGATTCTCCTTTATGGCCATACCCTTAATCATCATTCACCCTACCCCCCTCCCTCCCGTTCATAATGTTTTTCATATAATAAAGTTATCTCATGTAGAAACACATCTAAAACCTCCAGTAAAATAACATAATATGAAGAATTAAGGACCGTGACGCAATGCATCCCTTTCCATGAAGCGTCTCGATTAGTGGGCCTCTCTCCACTCCTTCCACCTTGTGACGAGGGCGGTAGGGACGCACATCGCGTTTTATTTAACAAACAGATGTACGTATTCCGCACGTTACCCTTCACGGTGTGTTTTGTTTTGGTTCTGCAGTTGGAGTTTTGACATTTCACAATTGAAGCTTTTACACTGATTGGGACTAATAAGGATGCGTTGAATGCACAATCGACATACACATAGTATGCGTTTTGTGCTAATTAATACCACCAGCTAGATAACCCTAGGGAAAAATTCCATTGTGAGGCAGAGTTAC